GGGGTGTGTGTCCCCCAGCCCTGCCCCCCCCTCGCATCTCCCCCTGCAAGCCAGGCTGGGCTGGGACAAATATAGGGCACCCCAAAATTACCCCAGGCACGGGCTTTAAATGCATGAGCCAAGGGGAACCCCTCTCCGCACTACTGGGCTCTCACCCCTCCATCTCCCTAAGAGCCCTCAGTGTGGTTTTCCCCTTCTATTGGGGTCCACCCCTTCCCTACTCCTTGAGCCCCAGCCTTGGGGTGATCTATCCCTGCAGGACAGGACCCTTTGTGTCCCCTCCTGCTCACCGCCGCCCCCCACAAGTTATTGTACATGTCTTATTCAGCCTCTCCCTTGCCAATAAAACGTCTGCCCCCTCCTGCTCTAAATGACAGGGTTGGGGACAGGAAGGAGCAGCAAAAACTTGCCGACAAGGCACAGACAAAGGGGTCTCGGTGCCAGCTCCTCGCAGAGCTGCAGTTAACCTCTTCCCTGGTGGGACCCAGCTTCCAGATGCCAGGAACCGGTTCCCTTTGCGAGGCAAGAGGAAGGGGAGTAAGGAGTTAGCTCCAAAATATTTTGCTTTAAAGACTTCCAGCAGCCAGGGACCCCGCACTCTCTTGCTGAAAAAAAAAAAAAAGCACTTAAGAAGCTGTTTTTTTTCTATGGCATGGAAAAATATGGAGATAGAGGGTTGGTTTGAGGTCTGAAAGCGTGTAGAAAATCTCAGCAACTTGAGGATTTAGGGGAAGGCTGGTTGTGAAAGAGCTGCGGCTGCTCCTTTCCTCCTCGTTCCAGCCTCAGCAGGGTGAACTGGGAACCCCAGCTCCCACTTCTCATTCCAAAACCTGGAGAATCAGCATTGTGGGAAGCAGTATTTCATCAGGAACCAAACCCAGGTATCATCTAGTGGGGGAAAGAAACGGTTTAGGGGGAAGCTCTCCACTCACGTAAGTAACGCTCTGCGTTTGGCGAGGAAATGCCTTCTGCTGCTTCTTCTTAGTACTTGGCAACTAAATGCAAATCCCTCTCTCAGCTCGTCCTGTTCGTTCCCCCATCTCTGTTCCCAGGAGGAAGGATGAGGCCCCTGCTCTGCTGCCTGGGGCTGGCTGTGCTCCTGGGGCCCTGCCTGGCCTGTCCCAGTGCCTGCTCCTGCTCCACCAAGAAGAACAGGCGGCTGTTGGCCGAGTGTGCCTACAAGGATCTCCAGGAGGTACCCAGGGGGCTGTCCTCCAACGTGAGCATCCTCACCTTGTCGGCTAACAGGATCAGCTGGCTGGGGCAAGGATCCTTCGCCGAGGTTCCCGAAGTGCAGTCGCTGTGGTTGGGGTACAACCAGATTGGGGTGGTGGAACCAGGGGCTTTCGCCTCTTTGGTGCACCTGAAGAACCTGGACCTGAGCCACAACAAGATTGTGGATTTCCCCTGGCAGGACCTCCGTAACTTCAGCAGTCTGCAGATCCTGAAGATGAACAACAACCGCCTGGCCGGGCTGCCCCGGGATGCTTTCCACTTCTTGAAGGACCTGCGCTCCCTCTGGCTCAATGACAATGAGTTGACCACCTTGGCTGAGGGCACCTTTGACAACCTGCCCTCCCTGTCTCAGCTGCAGATCTTCAACAACCCCTTCAACTGCTCCTGCAAGGTCTTCTGGCTGAAGAAGTGGACTGAGAACACCTCCGTCTCCATCACCAAGGGGGGGTCCACCCTGTGCGTTGCTCCCAGCAGTCTGAAGGGCCGGGCGGTGACAGATATCCCCGACCACCACTGCATCGCCCCCTCCGTGCAGCTCACCTACCTTTCCAACCTGGACAACACCGTCATGTACGACGGCCTCACCCTGACCCTGCACTGCAGTGTGGCAGGCAACCCTCCGCCAGAGACCAGGTGGAAGATTCAGACCTCCAGCCGCCGTGTAGAGATCAGCGGGCCCAACGTGGCACGGGATGGAAACGTCAAGCAGAGCCAAGAACGCTTCTTGGTCTTCAAGAACGGCACCATGGCCATCCCCAACTTCAGCAAGGAGGATGAAGGCATCTACACCTGCCTTGCTGTCAATGACGTGGGCATGCGAGATGTCTCGGTCAATGTGGCCTTGGCGGGGTCAGAGAATCCGGCTGAAGACCTGCTCCGAGATGACCCCCAAGCCAGCCACCTCGGGGGGCGGAGCTGCTATAAGGGGGATGAGATGGATCCCTCTGGTGCTGGAGAAAAGCTGGTGATCGTTTACCACATGCCGAGGGAGTCGAGGAGTGGGGCTGGAGGAATGGTGCCCCAAGCCCACCTGGGGCCTCTGCTGCTGGCTTTGGGCATCTTGTTCTGCTGTTGAAGGGGGGTGAAGGAAACAGTGCCTGGAGGGGGGTCCCCCCCTCGTTCTGTAGCATTTATCTTCACGTAGTGCCATGCCTTTGCTGAGCTTCTGGGAACTGCAGATGGTCAGGAGTCAAAGGGGGCTGAGACTCGAGCCCAGGGCTGGTAGTTCAGCCTCTCCTCAGGAGGGGCTTGGGGCTGTACTCTGTTAGTCGAGAGCTTCAAATAAGCTTAGGTGATGTAGAGCAGATCCTTACCGTGTTGCCGCTTTCTAAGGGCCCGAATCTGCCACCTCCTGACTTATTTCCCTCCTGAGACCAAAGTGTGGCTGCAGGATTAAAGTCCACCCTAAACAGGGTGCCCATTGCCCATCCCCAGAGCCCACCACCACAAGCCCTCCTCTACCTGCAGCACCAAGCTGGGACTAGGGAGGAGATTGTCACAGAGAAGATCCCTTTGGTCCAGTGGCACCTAAGGTGACATCCCTTGACCAGGTGCATCCTTCCTACCACCAACCTCCCATGAAGCATCAGGAACAGAAGTATCAGCCTGAGAGTGTGAGAACAGCCTGGACCCGTGCTCCCAGGGGATGTGGCTCAGAGATGATGGTAAGCAGGACAGGTATGATAGGACGTGCTGGGTGGGGCCACGAGCTCTGGTCAGGCCATTTTTGTAGAGCAGGAGAAGCTTTTCCACAGGCTTTGTCCTTGCAGGAGCACAAAGGGCTCCTGCTGTTTGGGTGCTGGGAGCACTCGGGGTGCCTTCACCCTCACTGCATGTTGCAGGATGAGGCCCTGCCACCCTCAGTACCTCTCCCAGACACGATGAAGCTGATCTCCACTACGCACTCCCCCTTTCCCTTTCACTGCTTGCCCAAAATGCTCGGCTGGGCTGGACCCGTCGAGCTGCCCTGCTCTGGCTCCAACCCTGGCCAGGACAGATTGAGCCCAAAGGAACCAAAATATTTTCCCAGCACTCCTCTCTGATAGGCAACAGAGCAGAGGGTGTATGGTGGAGCAGGAGGAGGAAAGATTGGGAAAACACAGATGACAGAGAGAAGCTGAGCGGACCTATAAGCCACGAACACACTCCTTAAGTGCTTTAGCATTCCCATGCAGAATATATATAACAGATACCCAGGGTGCTGGGGGACCCCTTGTCTCATGGGGGTGGGGGTGGGGATATGAGCATTTCCATCTCCCCCACCAGAAGCAGGGGTGGTCCAGCTTTCATACCTTCTGCCAGTGCTCGCCTGTAGGAGCTGGATCCACCCAGACCCTTGCAGCCACCCTCATCTTGTAACCAAAAGCTGTACAGACAGCAATAAATACCTTTCTTTTTTTAAACAGCCTGCTGTGTGCTGCCTCTGTGCATCCCCAAACCCCCCAGACGTGACAATATCTGGGGTACCACAGCTCATTGCCAGCCCTCTTCAGTCATGGGGGACCACCAAAGACCCCGTGCTGTAGCAACCACCAGCTCCTCCAAGGCCCTCCCTGTGCTGTAGCATCCTCCTAGCTCCCCCAAAGCTGCTTCTAGTGCTGTAACATTCCCCCAGAGTCCCCACTGTGCTGTAGCACCTCCCCACAGTGACCCTGCATGGAGGATGCATTCATACGGTACCCCAAAATCCCCACCACCACTGCCTACAGCAGGCAGGAGAGGGCAGTGACACCAAAACCCGCTGGAATGCGGCTGCCCCAGAGCTTCAGCCCTCCACACAAACTCTCCAGCCCCACGATTAAATGCCCAGCCAGCTTGTAGGATAAGGAAAGGGGCAGTCGAGGAGCTACCCTATGCCAACACCCTCTGGGTACAGCGCTGAGGTCTCCACAGGGGTCCCCAGGCAGAAACAGCCCAGAAAGAACCAGCAGCTCCTTGCTTTTGATGCTAACAAGCAGGCACATATTTTTCCCATTACGGGCAGAAAGGATGAAAAACATCACAGCCTCAATGAGAGTTTTGGTTTCATTTTGGAGGATGCAGCTTTTAACATCATCCTGGAAAGGATCCTTCTTTCCAGTGCCTTCCTGGGATTATGGGGGTACAGGAGCTTATTCCTGCAACGTCAGCTGGGAACAGGGTTTGAAGCCTGGGCTGTGGATAAAACAGAACTAAGATTTAGGCTCTCAGCAGCCCTAAGACGTGCCTCAAAGTCTCTGCCCGCCTTGCAGAGCTGCTGCTCCCCCCATTTTTGCTGCTATGTGACTCTTTTTCACCAGAAAGGTGGATTCCTCCATGTTTGCCAAGTTCACTCTGCTTTTAGAGCAAGTTCATAGCAATATTAAGTGTCACTGAATTCATTACAAACAGGGCAGCTCCTGGGCTGGATGCTTCAGAGGATAACACACTTAGCAGCACCATCCTGGGCCACCACAGCCATGAGCTGCTACGAGACTGGGATGCCACAACCCCCCACCCCAGCTCCTCTCTGTCCTGCACATTTGTGAAGCCACACTCTGACCCAGACCCGAATTTCCATTCCCCACCGAGACAATTTTCCCATTAAGGGCTGTTCTCAGCCCGGTCAGC